AAAATATTAATTATGATAAATAGATGAATAAATTTTTATAACAATACCGACCCGATTTGTCTGACATCAACATAGTGTTACGCTTAAAATATATCTTTTATTTGTAGCAACTTGTATTACTGCTTCGAACGCATATAACGCTTGAAGATTTATTTACATCTTCGTTACGTATATGTAATACTGATAATCTAATTAAAGTTTATAAGGAAATCAAACTATTTTCATAATAATTTATTATGAAATTATGCTGATTGACAAAATTTCGGAAAGTATTTTTCTTATTCTACTAGCAGACTTAATTGAAACAAATCAACTTAAGGATATGTTTGTCTACCTATTTCACAAATTATTTGTCGCACAAAATTTGTTTTGTAGATGACTTTGATGCATTAACCGCCTAGAATAATATCTACAATTTAGCCAAATGTAAATACTGCCGAGAAAACCACGATACAAATGTCATTTTGTATTTCCAATTAGTTTGTTAATGTTAATTTCTTTTAACAAACTAGACATATAAATTATCTAACTTAACATCTAACGACAAAGAATATCTCAGGTGGTGAGTTTTATTCACTCATTAAGTGACCGATTATAAACGGGGCACTCCATTGCTTTTATTCAAACTGAGAAAATAAAGTTTAAAAATAAAAACATTCAAAAGTTAAATCCGACACTCTAAATATCGTTTTCATAATAAGCGCATGAAATATGTTTCATTTATAAATGATCGGATTATGAGCAACATATACTCATATCTTTGTGTCATATAAAACACTTAAAAATAAAACTTAAAAAAAGATTAATCCACCAATCAATCAATAAATCACTCAATCGGTAATGACTTTCAAAAAAAGCGATGAACAAACAGGCAGTTTATAAAATGATCTTATCAGCTTTAGTTTACTTTTTAATATATTTTGATGCATTAACAGTCAACAGCACTTTTTTAAATGGTAAATGCCAAATAACACTACAGAAGCTAATGTCTTTCAAAATAACAAATTATTCTGTTACTGATAATCTCTCTGTACTTATCATACAAAGAAACTTAACCAAAAATAAAAAGGAAACTCACAGTTGATAAATTATTCTGCTACTGTAACAATTTCGGTACTAATCATATAAAGAAACATAGCCAACAGTTTATTCATATAAGCTTTTATATCACATCTTTAATTTATTTACAATTCATAACGATTAACCTGCCAAAGTAGATAAACTTTAAACAAGACTTTGATTAAGGTGTTCAAAGAATGTTGTTTTAAAGCTGAGATCTTCTGTTTGATAACAAACACGCTGGCTTTCTGACAGGTGAAGTAATTTAATTCAGATAACTTTAAAATAGCAAATAAAAAGGTCATTGAATGTTAATTTTGACACCTTTTATACAATTTTCATGATTAGATTATTTTGTTTATAGCATATAAAACATGTATAATCTTCAAACCGATACGTAAAAAGTTGCTAACATTCGCCAGTCTAATAACCGAAAGACAACAAATTTGTTACAAAAGTACAAATTATATGAATTTAAGTTTGTATGTTTGTTTGTTTGATTTGGTTTTACGTCACATCGACACAGTATAGGTCTTACGGCGACGTTACAGTTTTTGCTGGTGGAGGAAGACCTCAGGTGCCCTTCCGTGCATTATTTCAGGCACAAACGGGCACCTGAGTAGAAGCATCGATGTTCCGTGAGCTAGCTGGATAGCTTCCTCACATGAAAGAATCCAAAGTCACTGTCGGGATTCGAACCCATAGCGGTGAGGGGCAACTGGTTATGAATTTTAGAAATCAATACATAATTTATATAAAATAGGCACATGAAACTTTATCTTAGATATGTTGTAGATTTCCCAAAGTGCATTTCATTTTATTTTCAAATAGTGGTACTTACTTTCAGTATGAGCCATTTATTACAATAAAAGAATGTTAACATTTGAATAAATACTGAAACGGAAATTTGAGGGCGGACTTCCAAACTATTTAGTATTTTCATTTCTGCAAAAAAGGGGAAATAAGGCGAAATTAAATGTATTAGGTGAAAACTTAAACGTTTTAAACTTCTCATTTATATAAATGAGCCCTTCAAAACTAAATGTGTTGTATTGAGCATGTTCAATGCCTGTCAAAATTCTTTTTTAAACTAGAAAAAGCGGTTAGGAAAGGTATATCAGGGCAGTTCTTTATTGCACAAATATTTCCAAACAGCAAACTATCAGCCAAACAGTTACACAGTTACATACCCAAGACTTTGTGATTTCATTGGTTGTCTTTTTATTTGAATAATGTATTATCTACAGTTGACATATGTAAAATGTTTTATCCTCTAAAAATGTATTGTCTAAATGGAAAACAGTCAAAAACAATTAGAAGCTAAATACATTGATATCTATAGATGAAGCGATTATAAGTATGCATTTTTTCCATTCAACCCCAAGTGTTTTAATTTAGTCTAAGAAAATCAAATTATTTTACTAATAGGTTAACATTTTTGTGTTCCATTTTTGAATAGAAGAGAAAAACGTTTTGTGAAAAATATAAATTATATATGTTATTTATCAAAGTAATGGCAATATGATAAATATCGAGTTGCCAACAATATTCAACATGGTAGCAAACACCTTCAGTAACAACCGCTATCAGAAAACAGTTTATAAAATTACAACTACACATTGGATTGTAAGGACTTTATGATACAAATATTTTTTGCAAGTACTCCTTGTCCAACGCCTTATGTAGCAACCACCTTCTGGCGATTAATATTAATAGGATTGTTATCCTCATAATATAATATTTGGAAAGTATTTAAATAAGTAGACGATGTAATAAAAGAAAAGCCAAATAATGAATGTCTCCTATTTTGTCTTATATTCGATTCAGGCTCGATCTTGTTGGTAGCTAATTTTTGTGTTACGAACCTGAAATCCCTTAAACACTAAAATGACAATTCAAACGACAGTTCCAAAATCAAAACTGTGCAATTCCAGTCATAAATCAGAAGGTTATGAGGTTCAAATCTGAAAGTCATATTCCAGAATATATTTTTGTAATAATACTTCAGTACATTGTATTTTTATCAATCATTGTCATCAGGGATTATGTAAAAAGATAATATTCTAGATCAAGTTTCATTTAAAATTGCTGTCTAATTACTTACTTGACTTGTAAATCTTCCAAACTTTTTTTAAGTATAAAATGCTTTTTTCTATAAGAACACTTTAACATGTTCGAAGAAGAAACAAACATGTTTAATGAACGCTTATAATTTGAAAATCAAGAAAAATATCCAGTTGTCAGGTAAAAAGATAATAATAAAAATAATTGTCTGGCTACACATGCTTATGTCTTTATAATGATTTTTATCTTAAATATTCTAATGCTAAGTCATTTAGAATAACAGATGTCGAATTATGTACTTGTATAGCTTGAAATCCACTGAAATAAATAATGTATTTTGTTATGACTAATATAATATTTTATAGATAGACTTCAGAAGCTAAAGGTTTCAATGTGATTATGAATATCTCTGCAGAAATTCTAAGCACTTTTTATTGTAGAAATGATACCACTGAGATTCTGTCGTTCATTTGAACGCTCCATCATGCGTAACGCATTTAATGTTTTTAGATGAATTACTTTTGTAGACATGTACAAAATTTGTTCAGGAAGTTCATAGACTTTTCGTTTTTTGTCGCATTGTTTAATACACTTTAATAAGAGTACATACGCATAACATTGAAATAAATATCCTATTTATAGCAAATGACTTGCGCGTCTGTTTATTCACCTTTTCCACAAACAATTGGTCGCACATTATGTGTATTGTAGATGACTTTGATGCATTAACCCTTTAAAACAATATATCTAAATAGAAATAATGCCGGCAAACTTACGATAGCAATGTCATCTTAAATTTCAGTTTTTTTTGTTTTGTTATTGTTAAACTCTTTAAACAAACTAGATACCTACATAATTAAAGAAAACAACTTACGACAAGGATAATTCAATGTGATTTATATTTAATTCATTTTTTAAATGGCCGATGGCTGGTGGAGAAATTTAATTGCTATTGCTCAAACAGACAAATTAAAGCTCTTAAAATAGCGCATTTAAAAGTTAATTTCGACAACTTAATATAATGTTCATGATACGCGTATTTTGTTAACAGCGCATCAAACATGTTTTATTCGCAAGATGTCTATTGGCGTTTGAAACAGCGTTAGTAATTAAAATGAAGGATATCAGCAATTTTGATCAATGAAATCCACAAGGACTGTATAATATGGTTAAAATGCTACAATTGTGAAACCCCGAAAAGAATCAATTACATTCTTTTTTAATCTATTTTTTATGATTGCTTCTTGATGGTAGTTGATATTGTCTGTGACTTTGATGCATCAACAGTTTACTACATTACTTTATTGAAGTGTTGTATTCCAAATAAGACGGCAACAACGATACTAATTATTCCCTATAATTATATTAAACTCTCTGTACTAACTTTCTTTTTTTTAAACTCTGAAACCGATAAGCTAAGCGAAACAATGAAAGTCACTCGATGAAAGGTACATTTAAATTGTAAATAATTCAAAAGATGCAAGAAAAAGAGTTTTAAGTCACAAATATCTGAAATTGGAAATATGATTAAACAGATAATGGAACAGATAATGATGAGATATTACTATAATTATAGATTTCTTATAGCGTATCATTTTAGGCATGTGCAAAACGTTACTTCACTTGTTTAACCGTTGCAGCTGGACAAGCCAGTTATGACAGTAGCTAACACACTAAGACTTACGACCTGAAAAGGACTATTTGCCTGATAACAGGTACATATATTCTGACATATTCATAATAGGCTAATAGGTTTTAATTCGGATAATAAAAGAAATCAATCATAAACGATAAAAAACTAATTTGCTTTTAGACAAACGTACAATAGGCAATATGATAAACACAGAAAAAAGTTAATGATAGCATGCACCACATACCTTCAGGTCTGTTTATTTTCATCTTTCACTGCGCAGACAGTTTGCATCAGAACATCTTTAAAATAAGCTTTTTCCATATGTTATATTATCCATGGAAGCAAGTGTTTATACACCTATGAACGTACGTCGTTTCTCTCTGAAAAATAATACAATTGAATATGATATTCTATTTGATATATAGTTGAATTGCTAATTATAAACATTTGGGATTATGTAGATCTATGTTCAGTGTACTGATAGAAGTAAATATATGTCTATTAACCTCTATATTAACAAATATTAACATTAAAAAAAATCATTTGGAATGAAAACTTAAATATGTTATTTTTATTTTCAGGCAAAACAAAACATGGTTGATATCTACTCATATAAGAACTCAACATTTTCCCAAGGAGCACCATCCAGACATTAATCACGTCATTCAGCGTTGACATTTAATCGAAAAATAAAGTGACTTGGGAGTTATGGTCGAATTAGACATAACAAATGTCTGTCAAACGGTCTTTAGGCCGTTGTCAGACTATCAAGGGATTTTTTTATTTCCCCGAATGTTCTTCACCAGTTATTATCAATGTGTTTGAACGAAAATAATCTTGTCAACCGATATATCATCAAGAACCCCTTATCACACAAAAGTCCGAACTTTGATTTCATTAATGTCAATGGTGTAACATGTTGCTCCTTCGTGCTTATGAAGTGACAATTGCAGTTGATTGTGCCATCGGCTAAATACATTTTGATCAGAATTCCAGTATTAAGCAATATGATTATCACGGATCAGCTATCAAATTTGGCGGTTTAGTCCTAGATAAAAATGTGTTCCCTAGACCATTCATACAAAACAAAAGTTTTTGCAACATATTACCAGTTAGTCCATATAATGCTAAATAAATATTGACATTTTCTTGAAATAAGGAGCAGAGGAACTAGTGTAGTCGACAGTTATTCAAGACACAAGTTTAAATTAACTATCAAGGGATTGCTAAACTGTTGGATGTCTCTGTACTGTTTTCTTTTTATTCTTTTTATGCAGTGTAGATGTCGCATAACACGTCTATATCAATCGCAAATAAACAATAATAAATGTATAGAACACATCAAATTGTATTATTTATGCATAGGAAGTAATGTTATGTATATTTTAATAACCGATTTCTAAACTCAAATCTGTTTTGCGTGCCTAGTGTCAAAATCTCGCAAAGAAATATCTAAAATATATTTTATTATATGATATTGTAGCTACTGAGTTTACCATAGAGATACAATATGGGCTAAGTGAAATAAAGATAATAAGTTTAAGCAGCTTTTGATTAACCTTCAAATTATCAAACACGTCAGAACAACTATCATCCTTATTTCTTCATTTAATAGCAAAACAACATTTTTCATAATGCAAAAAGTTCCTAAATTCATATTTTATATTTGATTGAACTACATAGTTCAGCATATTGAGAAAAAGGCGTGCGCCTTAACATATAGTGAGTGAAATCAATTATAGTGGTAAGAAACAGATATATGAAATACATCAACTGACAAAAGGATAAATTACATTATCAATATAATCATTTCGAAGAAACACTATTTAAACGAAGTTAACTTAAAAATAAAAGAATTTTCCTTTTTCAAATTTTATCAAATTTCTCTTGCATATATATGATAAGATAAATGTACATTGTATCTTAAATGACTTGGTAAAATAACTAAATTGCATACTATATTCTATTGTGTCAGACTGAAAAGCTAGAGTAGTACAAAACACTATCATTTACGGGATATTTTGAAGTCAAATGGTTATGTCGTGACGAAATATATAAGTGATGATAATTGAAGACTTAATATGATAGTCTGGACGGTTATGAGTTATGAAAACTGTTCATTGTCTTGACAGAACGATGTTTCTCTTCAATGTGCTGTTTTACTGTTTTGTCATCAGACTCTGTCAGCATATGATTCCATTACTTTTAATATCTTCTAGCTTGCAAGGCAAATATTATTTGACGGGAAAAACATATTTCTTACACTATCGCGTGCGTGAAATGATTGTTTTCCTGTTTTACACACAAAGTTTTGTTTGTATGTTATCCTGATATTTAAACCCGTTTTAACACATGTTTTGTTCATATTTCGATGCTCGATAAAATGAATCAGGTTTCCAGGATAACTAACACTAAATTAACTAAACAAAGGTGACCGAATATTGATAAAACCGATTTCTGAAACAGCATGGAGAGATTAATTACCATAAGCCTTAATGTTCGTGTTAACTTCTAACGGAGAAATTATGCATTGCCCAAAGATCGTGTCACTGACTACTTGATTATTAATCAGATTCTCTTCAGCGGGTGGACAAAAACATTCAAACACTCAAAAAGATTAAACACTTTTTGCAGTAAAAGTCAAACATATAATAATGCTTGCCAATTGTATGTCTATAACAAATTACGAGAATTGATCAAAAAGTTCTCTTCCCGATGCACTTCCGGTAGTCAGAGACACCATCTAATGGTCTTACTTTTCAATATAATCGCCCTCTACATCAATGCACGTTGCCCACCTGTGCTCCATATTGTTTAACCCTTCAAAACAGAACTCTCCTTTTTTGGCCTTCAAAAAACTCATTGGCCTCGATGACACCTTCATTGCTTCATAAGCAGTTTCGGAAACAGGAATAAGTCGGAGGGGGCCAAATCCAGAGAATATTGGGGATGGGAAAGAATTTCAAAGCTGCAATCATCGCAACTTGGGATGTGTGAGCTGACTCATTGTCGTGCAGGAGCAGAACGCCTTGAATCAGTTTGCCCCTCTTTTAACGCGAGATTTCTTGACGCAGACGTACGTACCGTTTATGGTACGACCTTGCCCAAGACGGTCAATCATAATTATCCCCTGACCAAAAAAATGAAACCAACATCTTCCCTGCTGGTGGACCCGCTTGAATTTCTTCGGAGGGGTGAGCCAGGGTACTTCCACTGCATGCTCTGTTTTTTTGGATTGTGGATCGAAGTGATGGACCCATGATTCATCCTGATTTACGATCCGGTAGATAAAATCAGGTTCCACCTCGTAGCAAGACAAAAGATATCTTGAATGTCAAGCCTGGTCCGTATCTGTCAACTGTCTGTGGACCCACCTAACGGAAACCTTTGACATGCCATGGACTTCGATCAGAATTGCCTGAACTGAACCAAAGCTTATACCCACTTCCCTAGCAATGCTTCGCAGGTCTCACCTTTGTCGCACATGACCAGATCGTGCACATCTTCGGCAGTTTCATCGTTTGTGGCCTCTTTTGGCCGCCCAGGCCGCTTATTATCTCCAATGCTTTCCCTGACCCTCTTAAATGCAGCAGCCCATTTTTGGCAGTGCTATAGGAAGGGGACTTCTTCCTAAGTGTGTCTATGAAGTCGTCAGGGATTTCCTTTAGGGACATCCCATTCTTATAGAAGTACTTAATAACGGCTCTGATTTCAACTTTTCTCCATTTGGTCTTAATGACACACCCATCTACTAATCAAAGTGTGTTTTATGTTACTTAATCTGTGTAAAACCGCAAGTAATTCGGTCAGTAATCTTCAATGATATATCGGTATCGACGTATCGTGTGTAAATGTCAGTGTAGTTGCTAGAAGTATATCGGACCGAGAACTTTCTGATCATACCTCGTATATGATGTAGGATAAAACGTTTAAAGAGCGTTTTTATTCATTGTACTATTACACAAACACTCGCTGTGAAAACAATAAGATGCTAGCCGGAATAAAAGTTACTGTGTCAAACCAATACGGTCACCAAATATAAATAATTAGTATGAACTACCATCCACTTTAATACATAATGATGCCTTTAAATTATTAGCAATAAACATTAACAGGCGATATCTTGAAACAATTTGAAAAGGTCTTAGATGTTCCAACTTAAACGGACAGTCTCCCTATACCTTTGGAATGTTTCTGATAAACAAAATATGACAACTTTACCTTTTACATATCATATATTATGACAGCATTCGTGACAAAGCTTGCAATTGGAACTTGGGATTTTTATTCTTGATATTTCACTGGAATGTGTCATTCATGCTGTATGTAAGATATTTTCTTTAAAAAAACAACAAATCAAATCAATGCCTTAATGTCTAGAAAGATGTTCTCAGAAGTAACGATCAAATATGCGTGTCTATATTCCACTTGTTATGTCAGTCTTTACTTTCATGATGTTTTACGAAAAAATAGTGATACTGGGTGGACAGTTAAGCGATGTTCTACCTTCGAGCCTATCTTCAATATTTCTATTCTTTCTATACAATGTTCATGCTATTAAAATTATTTTACAGTCTTATTTTGAAACATTATGATTGCTTTTCCCTGAGACATTGCTTTTGCGATTTCTTTATTTAACATAAACCTTCCTTTTTGTAATATTATAATATATGAAGGAACGGCAATATCCTGTAACCTACAGTCTATCAAAATTAACGGATCAGGAATAAAGAACGGAGACTTTAATGCCTTAAAAAATTCTTCCTCGAATTTATCAACGCAAAAATAATTGTTATTGCAACAATGCGCTAATGTTTAATTAATATTGACGTTATTTCAGGATTACAAGCAAGGGAATTATTGAAGTCATCTATTATTTTAACAGTGTGCTTTAGATAAATCATCAAAGGGGTGTTATTATATTGGTTTTCTGTTGTTGTTTTTTTTTCTGAATTGAAGCAGAAGAGACATATCCACAAAATACTCCGCAATCACATATTCTATTATAGCAATAATAATGTTGAGATAATAAAATCGTTTTAAATTAAAGCTGCTCTTGTCTGATTTACGTATATAGCATTCTTAAAAGTTAAAAATGCGAAAACAAACATAACATATACAAAATTAATATTAATGCAAATTGTTTAAAAATTATTTCAACTTCGGCCAACGCATCATTTAACAAATCTATCCGGTGATAACTCCCTTAGTTATATGTTATATTAATAATTAAGCTTAACGTTACAATCCTATGTACCTTTATCTCCCTTAACAAGTTTCAAAGCAAGCAATTTTGTATTAAAATGATCTGATTTTTTTTCTTTTAATCTATTTACAAGAATGTTCTTCTATGGTAAGTAATATTGTTGATGACTTTGAT